AATGATACCTTTATTATTTTTGTTTTAGTCTACAAAGTTCAGACTAAGAGACAAATAAATGCATAAAATAGTATAGCCTACTTATACATACTCTCAAATGGCACATGATAGCTATATAATTTATATATAGGTTACCCCCAGGGTTATAATACGTTTCCATTATAACATTAAGTGCACAAGTTGAGCCTAATGACTGCTGTCTTTGCAGTTCTTATGATGGTGAGGAAATCCTCATGTTTAAAGTTGAGCATGTCTCTGAAACACTGAATTGTTATCAGCTTACTAGTACTGCAGCTCGGTGTTGTGTTTCTTAGGTTTGATCATGATTTGCATGAGACAAGGCTACTATTGGTTGCAGGTGTAAAGGTGCTTTTTAATTTTATGACAACAGGAATTATCCCGTGGAATGCCACACCAGGCAAGGCCTGTGGATCAACGCTAGGTGACATCTGCAACACCAATGAGGTAAGGCGTGCTTGTGCAAACATCACTCATCCCAGAAGTGGCACGCAGAGCAGGGTGACATAGGATTTTGTTTATTGAAGACTAAACACTGTTAACGCTGCCTGTCTTTTTTCAGTTCTACCTGTCTTATCACCTGTACATCGTAGCGTGCGCCGGGGCAGGAGCCACTGTCATCGCTCTGGTAAGCTTCCGTTTGGTCTCTCCATCCTCACGTTTTAGTCCATCTTCACATGGTTTGTATTAGCAGGTCATGTGTCCAGTGCTTTTCTTCTCATTCCCATATGGTTAATGTAGCCAAACCAATGATGATAACATAGTCTTTTCCAAAGCTCCAACTTCATTTTGCTGTTTACCCAGCTTAGATGGACATGACCCTATTTTGAACAGTTGCTTTTTTGTGCCATGATTACGATTCTTTTTTAGAAATGACACTTTTAAAAAAACTGTTAGAATTCTATAAAATTATACTTCATGATCTTTAACATTTTACTGCTGCAAACTTACTGGCCACTTTACTAACTTGTCACAATATTAGTGACGAGGAGGTCACTGGCATGTACTCTTACCACCTTTTCTGTTCTCTTCCACCAGCTGATCTACATGATGGCTACTACTTATAACTTTGCTGTTTTGAAGTTTAAGAGTCGAGAAGACTGCTGCACTAAGTTTTAAACCGTTTTAGGAACACAGTGCACCATTCAAGGCTGTGCTGAGTAGACACCGTTGCCACTGACAACAGTTGAACTAAAAAAAACAACAAAATCTGAGAATAGAAAAAAATCAACCTCTCTCCATTAGTAATCACAAGACATGTAAATAGCTGACTGTATACTTCTCTTAGCATTTGGTATCCAGGGATAATGCTCGTCTGAGGACACCTGATGAGAGTTGTCTTCAGAGTGGGATGATGGTGTTTAGTTGACTGGTTTGTTCTGCTTTCCTTTACACTTACTTATTGAAATATGTCACCACCAGAATTTTTTTTTTTTTAAATAGAAATGTGCGCAGCTAGAAATCCACAATAGTGTTATTTATATTTGTAATTTGTGAAGGCGGTTTTGGCCTGCACAAACCACATGAGTAAGTTAGATAAAAAAAAAAAGACACACACAGTATTAAGAATGCAGTTATTCACTTTCCATAAGCTGGCGAGCTTCAACTCCTGAGACACTTGTAAAACAAGTGTGCAGGTTTTGAAAAAACTGCCATTCTGAGATCTGATAAATACACTAGACTGCACGTGGCTCATATAGATGTACAAGACGAAGTTAAGACACGTGGGCATCTGATGACGAATATTGAAGGTGTTCTCAGGCTTAATATTTTTGATTGACAGATTAGCATTTTGGTGTGGATGGATTTTAGTACAAACAATCTGTAAAATGAGCTGTGATGGCGGCAAAAGTGCCTTGTCCTTGTATTTCTTTGGTTTATTTGCTTAGCCTTAAAATCTTTCAGAACCAATGTGTGAAACACGGAAAACCTTCAGTATTATTAATTTTTTGGGTCATGAGTTAGATTCTAAACTGAACTAAAATGTTTTATTCAATGTGTTATGCTGATGAGTATTACCACAACCAGCTGTGTATTGTAGAATTCAAAGTAACTGCACATATCGAAAGTAGCACAAATAATGGGTTAGGCCAGTACCGTGCATATAGATCTGCATGAGGCCCTATTACTCGGATTAATTCCATGTATTTTATAAAAAGAAAAAAAAGAGAAATTATCCTCTTTTAGAGTACAGTATTTTTTTTCTATGAGAGCTGATCCTGATATTGCCCCAGCTACGAAGTTGGCGTTTTGTTTCATACATTTTCCTTTATTCTTTCTCAAAGTGCCATTAAAGAGCCATTTGTTTTTATCTTAACACTGAGCCTGCATGCTTACAGTTTTCAGATACTTTGATCTGTTTATAGTTACTTATACTCCATATTTCATATATTTAAATTTCTCCTAAGTTTTTCAAAGACTGTAGCTTTTACTTTCTTTATAAAATAAACAATCTTTGTTTACAAAAAGAATCCCCACCTGGTCTATTTATTATATATCCTACAGCTCAGATTTGCAAATTTCAGAATCTTGTGCTTTGCACTAACCTAAGCTTTTACAGCTCTGCTCATTTTGCATGTGCAGCCTCCCGCTATCTTCCTCCACTCATCACCTCATCTTTTAAGTGTCATTTCTGTAGTATTGTGTGTAACGAGGTAATAACTCCGAGTATTAGTAATGATTGTAACAGCACTGTTACAATACCCGTAACATTTCTTTTTCCACAGTGTCCTTTTTTTTTTAAAAAAAAGCATAACTTTACGTTCGTGTATGTCCGTATTGTACGTACTGTAGCTCTGACTCCTGTAGCTTGCTTTGCATCTTTGACATGCTCACCGGCCATCCACCTCACCCTTCTCTTCCAGATCCACTTCCTCATGATTCTCTCAGCAAACTGGGCCTACCTTAAGGATGCCAGTCATATGCATGCCTACCAAGACATCAAAATGAAGGAAGAGCGGGAGCTGCAGGACATCACCTCACGCTCAAAGGAATGCCTCAATTCCTACACATAAGGATATTTCAAGCTTACAAACCACACACACACACATACATAAGCACATATACTTACAATAACAGACACTGTGGCCAACCACTGTGGGCCCTCTGGACCAAGGCGACTCTCAGCTAAAATAACATGCCAACTGACACTGTGCAGTACTAACCAGGCTCCTAACAGACTAATGCATCAGTGTTGCTTTCTGCACTAATTGTTTCACAACTGCTCTGTGAAGTTTCATTCATGCTAATTTTTATTTTTCATTTTCTGTAGGGAAGAGTGATCTGAGTTCTGATGTTCGTGTGTTTGGTTTTTTTTTTTGCTGGTGAAGCTTGTGACATTGCACTATTCCTACACAGCACACCACAGTGTTTCACAGTCTTGCTCGATCCTTCTTTAGTTTTCAGCTAAGGAAGATGAAACATTTTGGTTTTTGTTCGGTTTTGCAGATGTATTATACAAATGAACAGCCTTACATCCAGTCTGAGTTGTGCGTCACACTATACTGACCTTTTTAGGGAAAGTAAACTATTGCACCAGATTGTTTTATAAAATAGTTGGTAATACATGCACTCTATAATCTATAATCTATAATCCTTGATGATTATGAATTTACTTGCATTTCCATCTCAGTTGGTGATTGTCTGAATGTTGTTCATTAGTTATGGATTTTTCTTGTACAGCTACTTAAGTCATGGCCTACATTACCTCTACCTCAGGTGAGCACTAGAGCCTATGGACAAACAATTCCCCATTGCAAGGTGTAAAAGAAACCAATTCCAGTTGTAAAAAGATGTCTCAAAGACATAGTAGATAGGTTTGTGTAGCTACACATGCACAACAGTTCAACTGATTCACAGTACTATAGACTTTGGATAATGCTACAAGAAAAACTTACTGACCTGTATGTATTCATTTAGGCACATAGGAGGAAAAAACAAAAACGTCAGTACTTGCCAATGAAGAGTTGTGATGGCTAATGATATAGCAGTGATTATCTGCAACATGTACAATATGATCAAAAATGACTTGATTTAAAGGAAATCCTATTAATAAGCATAACTATGTCCCATGTGTTTGTTAGTTCAGTTAAATTTATTACAGGTCAAAATTTTTCATTTCTTCTTACCTTTTTTCATAATTTTCTATAATTGTATATTAATGTGCAATTTTCACAATGTTAAAATAACAACTTATAATCTTTATTAACTGAGTTACAGGGATAATTTGAGCTGTTACTTTGTTGTATAAAGACGACCACTTCTGTGGTGACCTGCGATGTACAGTTATGTATACTGACTTCAGTAGTAGGCAGTGTTTGCCCATTTCCTGTTTTTCTAACAGAATATAAAGCTATGTAGCACACTAGTTATAGATCTTTTTTTAGGTTCTTCTAATCACTTGAGAAGTATACTTTATTGTTTTGTTGCCTGATAGTATGCCTGTATTTTCTATGTATGTCAAGGGCTTCCTCATGATTAACTGATACTTAACTTTCCAACTGTCAAGTAACAATTAGCCACAACAACAGTCCTTTAAACAGTTGTATAAAATTATAAATGGTAAATTCAGCCAAAGTATGAATGCCAGTGTTAAACGGTATCTGTTTGATACAGTGGTACAGACCCTACAGTGCTTTATGTAGGACTGGCAATAGGTGTGCAGTGGTCGAGCCGATAGATGACAGATGTACATGAAGCTAATGTACGTCACATTTTGTCTTTGTCTGTTGTGTTTCCTGTTAAATGAACCAAAAAAGTAAATACAAGGCTATCTATCAATCACCAGGAGGACAGTAATCAGTTAAAAGAAAAAACAAACAAACAAAAACCATCCTGTCTGACTGGAAATCCCTTTATGAAACAACTTCACCGGCCTGTTGACTGTTTTTATGAAAATAAATAAAAATGTTTTTTTTAAAAAAAAAGTTCTTCCAATTGTGGTGCTTTTGTTCTTTGCATGATATAATTTATTGGTATACAGATTTTAAAAAAATGCATTTATTTGAATTTCATACAAAAAAGAAAACATGTAGGACTGATAAGCAAATTCTTGAAATATCTGTTTTTATACACTTCAGATTATGATGCCACAAACTGATGGTCAGCTCACCAAAAATCATCATCTTCATCCTTGTGTGAATATGCTGCAATGCTGAGACAAAATTGAGTTTATTAGTGAAAGCTTCGAGGGACAGGTAAAAATAAAGTAAAACACTTTAAAATTAACAACATGAATCCAGAACAACAAAAAACCCTCAAGTACAAAGTAGGACCACGATAAACCACAAAAGCAATTAAATGTTATTGAAAGAGGCTTATGTATGTATTAAAGTCCTGCACAGCTTTTGAATTAGAAAGCGGAAATAGTTTGTCTAGCCAAGTCAACGGTTTTAATTTACCTGTCTTCTTTATCCTCAGACAAACTCTTGGCCTCTGGGCTTGCATATTCTGCCTCTTCTCTTCGAGAGCTCTGTAGAAAAAAACAATCCCAAAGAACTCCAGTCTGCATCGAGTCTCCTGTTTAATTTGTACAGAAGCCTCAGACAAACGTGCATGCAACTCACCTGTGCATGTTGCTTCTCTCTTGCTTCCAAGACCATCTTCATGTATTTGTCCAGTGGATTTTCACTTTTAGACTCATATTTCTCTCCACTGATTTCTTCATCTATTCCTTTCTTAACCCCGGTTTCTTCTTCTTCTTCCTGTTTTGGATTTTCCACCTCTTGTAAAAGCTGATTAGAATGGGATGTTATCACATTAAACATTCATTTAAGGTCGCCTTTTATGAGAAGTTTAGATAGTTTAGCTTATAAAGAGGATTTCTGCAGGAAGTGGGTCTAAGATAATCATTACCATCTCTTTCTCTAGTCGCTCAAGTTCTTGCAGTTCTCTCTCTCTGGCTTCTTCTTGCTCCCTTTGTCTTTTTTCTTCTCTTTCTTTCCGCTCTCTTTCCCACCTTTGTTCTTCATCTTCTTTCTTTTCAGATTCAACCAAACTTTGTGGGACTTCTAGAAATGACATGAGTCATCCTTTGTCAATTTGATCCTTTGGGTTTAAAAAGCAGTTTACTGAAAATTGGCGGCAAAATGAGCCAACTGATTTTTACAGTTTGACTTATGATGTACAGTAGAAAAAAGGCTTGTATTGTCATTGGAAGTCAAGCAAGATTATGAATCGTTGATGGGAGAACTAAGACTCACCCGTTTGGCCCTGTGAGTCTATTAGGTCTTTTGGGAGGTCTTGTGGGTGGGGGGCAGCAGGGGCCTCCTCAGAGAGAGGGACAGCAGTGTCCAGGAGAAGCTCTGGAATGTGGCCGGGCTCTGGAGGGAGACATGCACAAAGAGATCTTTTATGCTCCACCATAATGCAACAGGGCCAGAGGACCAGCACAGAATACATAATCAGAGGTCCTTCATCTTCACCATTGTGCAGGGCCACTGAAAGGCCAGTCACACACTCATTAAAAAACAGCCATCCAAAAATTCTAGGCCGCCATACTGGATACATTACACATTTTGTTACATTAGTGATTAAACACTATCAACATATAGTTAATCATTTTCTAGAAATATATTCTAGTGACAGATGGAGCAAACAGAAATTAATCACACAGTACACTTTTCAGCACTCGCATCGTGCACAGCAGCCATGGAATTAAAATAAACAGCACATAAACTATGAGTGTTTATCCTGGGATACAGTGAAGATTTTCCAGTATAAGAGGAGAGCTATACTTCTACAATAGATCCCCAGGGAACTTGTCATCTCCACTGAATGTCTTGTAGCTAGTCAAACAGCATGAAGCACTACTATAAAAGAACTTTATGTTCTAACAGTTTAAAAGTTCCCCTTTGATCACAATTTATGGCCCAGAACCTCTTCCTCAACAGCAATGAAGCGACCAGACTGCTGAAGCTCAAAGTCGGTTGTATGAGTCACGCACACTGCAAACATTAGCTTCAGAAATACATGACCACATTCTATTTGATTATGCTTTAAACAATAAAGGGAAAATACTAAACAAAAAACAATACTGAGTACCTGATAATCCTCCAGTGAGATCTTCAAGGCTTATCTTCTCAGGCTGTGGGGAAGACTCTGAGCTGGAGAAGACTTGCTGTAGCTTTGGTGGACTGAAGGACACAGTGGCAACATAGGCATTGGTTTTCACTGTCTCATCATAAAATGTATGCGAAACACTGCACTGTCCTTGAAAGTGATGCCAGATGGTACCTGGAATGGTCGCGTGCTGTGCTCCTGAGCTGAGGACTGCGAGGTGGACTGAGCTCGGAGGACAAGTCCTCTGAGGTCACCACCTCATTGTGGAGGGCAGGAGAGAGCTGCCTGTCCGACGACAGCTGTGGAAGCAGGACTGCAGACACGACTGGCCCTAACAGAAGGAAGGACTTAATATTAAAAAACACATCTGAGGTAGAAACGTGCTCAGAGACTGATGTGTAAAGATCTGGACAGACTGATCTGAATTTTCAAATAATTTCCATAGAAAATATACAGTTTACATGCATGTGTGCAGCATATAAGCACTGAGAACATAAATCATTATTCAGTTTTTTGACATATTACCTTCTGTAAGCTCTCTTTGAAGATTATTCTTGAAGGAAGATTGTGTTGTAGGGGATGGGTGCTTGGATGGAGCCAAGCTTTCATCTGGAGCGTTTCCATTTTTTAGGAACAAAGGCTCGGTCAGTGAATAGAGACTGTGGTCAACAAAACATGTGGCCTGTGGCTGGTTATGATCTTCTGAGAAGGTAACTCTTGATTTTGCAGATGGTAAAGTCTTTCTGGTGCCATTGGAGGGGGATTGGTTAGACTGAGGAGACAGTGGTCTGTGTGAGATCTTTGGTTTGTGGGCTAAGTGACTGTGTGAACGGAGAGGGTCGTGTTTTCTAAGAGGAGAGTCAGGGGAATGAGAAGGATGTGGTTGTAGTGGGGAAAAAGGTCTTGGGGGAAGCATGTGTGAGATGGTGGAGCGCACTGCCCTCTGCTGGTAGTTCCTGTAAGCTTCCTCTAAAGTCTCAGCCTCCCTCTGCAGCTCCTTGATCCGAGTCTTAGCTTCAGCTACCAGCTCCAAATCAGAATCTGGTACATCACTCCAAGGCGATTTGCTTCCTCCCAGATTGCCATCTATTTCACAAACATCATAACCCACCCTGGCCCTCAGCAGAGTTCTGTCCACATAGATATCAGGAGGAACCAGCTTGTCAGCGCCGAGCTCTAGCACAGAGCGATCAACAAGAGATGGTTTGGGATTACGCAGCACCTCATTTTCAAGAGCTGCCAGGAATACATGAGTCACACAAAAGGAAGAGAAAGAGGAAAAGCAAACAAGATGAATGTTGAGTACTACTACAGAATACCATCCACCATGAAAAATCAGAGAAAAAACCCCAAAGCTAATTAGAAATAATTACATGGGGCTACACCAAAAATAGGCAGTTAATACTGTAGTGTTGATTTCTTTCTTGCTTTTACTCAGTTTTCTATAAGACTATCAAAAATACAAATAAAAGGATGAATCAATATGTGCAACGTGTAACTGTGTACAAAACTGTATGAGCTAGAAAAGAAAGAAATCCTGCTTATGAAAAGCAAAAATAAAGTCAACTACACTTAAAGCAAGATCATCTGATGTGACTAGCCACATTAACATGGATGCCACATCAAAGTGTACCTTGATGAGTTTGGTGAAGCTGCATTTTAATGTCCTCAACATGGTTAGCCATCCACTGGGATTTCTCTTTACACTCTATCAGCTGAGCTTTGAACTGGGCACACTGCTCCATCTGCAGAAAAAAATGGACACAAAAGTGAATGACATGTATATTTTTTGATAACCAGAGATCTGAGGGCATACTGCGAACACAAATTCTTCAAGGTGAAGAAAAAATTGTTTCCCACAGCAAGGAGCTGTGATGTAGCTGACCTCACTCTGGAGCTGTGCCTGCAGCACCTGTTTCTGGTTGTCAAATTCTTCCGCATCCAATCTGCGAGCACTCTGTAGCCTCTGAAGCTCCAACTGCAAGGATAGTTGCTCTTTGGATGGTTTGCCCAAATCTGAGACAGGATATATAAGACTTAAAACATAACATAAAAGTACAGCTCATTTTCCCCAATGCATTTGTCTTCAGTGGGAAAACTGTCGGATGAAAAAGCATCTGGTTTTGTATGGAGCAGTTCTTGACCAGCATGACATTACAGCACATGGGGCCCATTATCATGTCACTGCCTTTTGTTAGCATTGAGGAGAGAGGCCCACTGCTCCTTTGCCCCATCTTTAGACAAGATGAATACTGTAAGCCTCAGAGAGAGGTAAGATTTTCTTTGCCATGGGTAAAAGGACCTCTGTCTCTGCTCCCATTCACTCATCCCCCTTTCCTCATTGGCTGTCTGCAAAGCTACAAACAAGACACAGAGGCCCTACTTTGGCAGGCAAGACACATTCAAGAAGACTCAGCTCAGCCAGAGGCAGTGGGATAAGACTACCAAAAATGCTTCACAGTACACTGCACCTTACACAGTTCACAATGAGCCTATACTCAAGCACTCTGAATGCAACACAGGAACTTCAAGAACCTCGCTTATGGCAAAGACTGCAAATATTCAGACTTACCAAAACTAGGATTGCATTTTAGACACAATAAATAGTCCCAGGCTATAAGATAATCAGATGTGCATTATTATAAACAGAGTATGCCTGATTGTGTTTTTTATATGTTTTTAACTGAATAGGGACACTCTCCTGGTAGACACTCGAGAGCAACCGCCACTCTCTACCTGCATGAAGAAGCCGTTTCTCCTCTTGGGCCTCCTCCAGCTGTTTCTTTAGCAGCTGCAGCTGCCCCTGCAGCTCTGCTTTCTCTTTTGTTAAGCGGGGGTAGTCACTCATGCTCTCCATTCTTTCCCTTAACAGCTCCTTCTGTTGAGCCAGCAGAGAAATCTGCTGCTGTGCTGTGTCTAACTCGATCTGGAAAAACAAGCCCGCGAGGGATATTAAAAGCATGGGAACCGAATCGCACTGGATGGCATGCATTTATCACAGAATTAAACTGAATGCTAATATAATTATTTATCATTTTGCCTCACGTCCACTGAAAAGGGTGAAGTTAACAAGGATGGATGGATTTGGGTCTTTACCTGCAGCCGCTTCAGCTCTGAGCACGTTTTACTGTGGTCCTCCAATTTGGCATTAATTGCAGCTGACTCCTTTTGGATACGGACAGTTTCCACTGAAAAATACAAAGATGTGAAAGTAGACAAAGCACAGGCAACAGAAAATTGGTCATAAATCCTGCACTGACTGACATACTTGCCTTTGTTTCTGTTCTCACTTTCTGTGAGCTTTTCTGTTCTCTTGATGTAGTCCTCCTTTAGTTCAAGCTGATACCTGATTTAAAGACAAAATGAGACATTTAAAAACAGGACTAAAACTAAAACAGTACAAGACAAAGTGACTTGTTGTTCTTTCTACATTACACAAAGCAAATACTCGACCCAGTGATCAACTAGAGATTTGCAAAATCAATGTTGTCCTCTGTCAAATACATGGTAAAGTCCTCTTGTGTATGTTACTCTATTAATTGCTGTTACTGCTGATAGCTATATTCTTTTGATAAAAAGAAAATCACTTAAGTTAAATAAAGGTTGGTACATTAATTAACTCAGTGTCATTGGAGATATATATAATGCTTTATTTAGCAGGAAAATATTTGAAATTCACCAACAGGATTACTGTATTGATTTTTATGTCACAGATAATTATGATAATGTATACTGTATAGTATACACACAGTACTGACAGTAAGTACCTGGAAAGTTCATTCTTCAGCCTCTGGTCATACGTGTCCTCCATGGTTTTCACAGCCAGTTCTCTCCTCCTCAGCAGCTCTTCAGCTGTCTTGATCTTCTCCTCATGAATTTGACAAGTCCTATTACCATACAAAGACAACAGCAATAACTATGAACCTGTGACCACAATGGAAGAGTGCAGCATCATTTCACTCAGATAAATAGTCATAAAAAATTCTTACTTTTCAAAGGCTTCTCTTCTCATCCTCAGCTCATTTTCTCTGCTACGTAGTGTTTCAATTTCCTTCAGCACTGACTGTCTCTCAATGTATACGTTCTTTTCTTCAATCTATAGAGAAGCGAAGTGGAAATAAGAGAATAAGAGATAATTAGTCTATCTTAAATTTAAGGAGAAATAATTTGAATGTAAACTGTAATGCTCAGAACCACCCACAATCAAATTGCAGTGGGATATAGAAGCCTGATGCCAAATCATACATACAGCTCAGGAAATGAGCAGCAAGGTTTGAGGACTGAGAACAATTTAAAAGATCAAGTGATAGCCAGTAAAAGAAAGTTAAGAAGGCCAGAATCCTCAAACTGACACCAGAACTTTAAGGTGATATTATTAGTAAAATATTCACCTGGGTGTCAGACCTTTGAAATCTTACATTACATGTTCAAGGTTTATATGAGAAAAAGAGCACCTCATTGTAGCAGCCATTTACCTCTTGCTGTTTTTGCAACCGATCAATAGCATTTTTCTCTCGCTCCATCAGGGCCTTTGTCTTCATTTCATAAGTCCTCTCCAGCTCCTGCTTCAGCCTTTCAAATTCTTTATGAAATTTGGATTTTTCTTCCATCCTCACCTTGGCGATTTCAACTTCTTTAAAATGTTGTATCTACAAAAGAAGATGAAGAAAAAAAAGACAACATTGAGGCAACCCAACCTGGAAGAAAACTATGTGACCAAATAAAACATGTTTGTTCCGAGTGTGTACCTTTAAGTTCATTTCTGTTTCCATCTGCACTTCAATGTCTTTTCTATACGCAGACAGTTTTGACTGTAATGGAAACACTTTGTCCCCATTGTACCCCAAACCCTCGTATTCCCGATCTATTGTTTTCATCTTATCTACTGTGAATGGAAAGACAGGGAGAACACATTAAAACTCTTTGTTGGAGGGCATGAATATAAAAGGCCAGTCACCGTCAGACATCAGTTCATACCAAGAGACTCTCCATAACTTGATAAACTTGTCTGAGTGTCGGCATCGTGGCACAGGTTCCGAGTATAATGATCTGTTAGCTGTGTTAGAAGGCTGATCAGGAACCCTGGTAAATAAAGACATAATAAATCACTGGAGAGACTCTGGAACAAAAGCAGTTTTATTAGAAGCAGAAGGAACAGGACATTGTACATACCCCTATCATGGTTTTCTTTATTTGAAGACTGTAAGAAAATAATAATGGCGCTGTTATTAGTAATTACACTATGTCTTAATACTTACATCAAAAAGATGTTCTAGGTTCAAAATAATTATAATTACCAATGACTTGTAAAGGTTTGATTCAGGGCTTATTTTAAGAAGCTGAAGAAGGTCTTCTTTTGTAAAAACCTGTAAAAGTAGATCAGAGACCAGAGACATTCATCTCCATCTTCTTGACACCTCAAGCTACATGTACATAAAAAAAAAGTCATACACACCTTGTCTTTAGATAATCCGCTTTCAGGATAGAAGACAGAAAGTGTGTACTCATACCCTGAGTTCTGGAGATGATCTGCCACTATGCTGTTACAGGCTGAAACTAATATGGGTTCATGTTTCACATGTGCTGCCCTGGGAACTGGTTCTTGGCCTGCCAAAGCTGGGTATTTTAACTCCTGGATGAGCTGATTTCGCAGCTGTGCCTACATTAGATCCGAATAGTCAAAGATGAAGGATGAAGACCAAACACTGGACATTGCTACAGTGCTGTGAAAAAGTATTTGGCCCCCTTGATTAACTGTGATTTAACACCTTTTTTTGTAAAGTTGAGCTCAATTTCACTATCCACACCCTGGCTGATTACTGGCAGACCTGTTGAATCAAGTAATCACTCAAACAGAAGCTGTCTCACAAAGTGAAGTAAGCTAAAAGATCCCAAAAAGCAACACATCATGCAACACGCTATCAGTGTGGAAAGAGTTACATCACCACTACTAAAGCCAGTCTCACTATCCAATTGTTAGAGCTATAAAAAGTGGTGACCTTTCTGAAGAATGCCCAGCCTAGCAGAATTACTCTAAAAGCAAAATGACAACTCATTCAAGATGTCACTGAGTTCCAAGGAGAAAACCACTGAGCAAAAGGCTCAGCTCACATTTGCCAAAAAAAACATATTGATGATCCTCAAGACTTTTGGAGAAAGCGGAATAATGAGACGAAAGTTTCACTTTTTGGAAGGTTTGAGTCCCATTACATCTGGCTTAAAACTAACACAGCATTTTATAAAAAGAACATCATACCAACAGACATGGTGGTGGTAGTGTAATGGTCTATGGTCTAAAAAGTCCTGAAGGAAAATGTCTGGCCATCAGTTTATGCCCTGAAGTTCAAGCACACCTGGGTTATGCAGCAGGACGATGATGAGAAACCTGCCAGAAAGTCCACCTCTGGATGCCTCAAAGTAATGCCAGATGAATGTTAAATTCTAATTGCCTTGACATAACCTTAAACAGTCCATAAATGCTTAAAACCCTTTCAATGTGGATAAATTTACTTTTGCGAAGAAGAGTGCACTATAAGTCCTCCATGGTGATGTGAAAAAATCGAGAAAGGCAAATACTTTTTCACAGCAATGTATAATAATAACAGCACCGTTATTAACATTGCTTACCTTGAGTGTATCAAGAACTCC